CCCCCCCCCCCCCCCCCTCCTCTCACCCCTTGTGTGCGATGTGGCAACCCCCTCTTTCCCCCCTTGTGGGCTGTGTAGTACCATGTGGTACCCCCGTCTACACCACTGTGTGCAATGCAGTACCCCTCTATCTCCCACTTGTGTGCTTCCATCCACAAGCACGTCCCATGTAGTACGAGTCAGATTGTTTCATTGTGCCATTGTGTCCCATGTACCCCTTGATGGGTGGTTGGCGTAGGTGGCTGGCAGAAGACTGGTTTGGGGCTGACCAGAAGCCCCCACCCCATGGGGTGGTACAGGTAGGTGCGTTGTAGTGTGTAACTTCGACAGTGTCATGAATAAATTGGTGGTACATTTCAGCTATCAGTCGCACAATACGTGGTTAGTTTTTTACCTGGATTCTATTAGCCTTACATTTGCAGAGGACTCCTGTTCCTGGTTGATTTGCATGGCGTGCTGTGGTGTTGTTGTGTGTTTCTTGCAGTCAATTGATCGAATATTGGCATATGATAACCGGCAGATCGTATTCCTTCTAGAGTATGTTCGATACAATGCCTGTCCTGACATTCAAAAAAGTGCAATCCGGATAATGAGCATCTTGAGGTAAGAAGAATTCACGCCTCTAGTCCTCATTTCTCTGAGGAACCTCCCCCCCCTCCCCCCCCTCTCTGTGTGTGTGTGTGTGTGTTTGTGAGTGCTCTCTGTGTGTGTGTGTCTGTGTGTGTGAGTGCTCTCTCTCCCTCTGTGTGTGTGTGTGTGCTCTCTTTCTCTCTCTCTCTCTGTGAGTGCTCTCTCTCTTCCTCTCTGTGAGTGCGAGTCTTGGCACGACTGCCAAATCATTTTCTGCACCATCATCAGTGCCAAAAATTGCAGGCTTATGCACTGTACTTGCCATTAGGCCTTGTGTGGGTGTGTGTCTGTGACCACCGGTTTTGTTCCAATTTTTTTGAGGTGACGCTCGGCCAAAATTTGTTTTATTGGAGTCCTGAATAAACTTTATCTTCCCGGCCTCCTAGTTTGTGCTGGGCCGGACAGACCCATCCAGGAATATCTGCGGACCAGATGTTCAGTTCGGCAGCCTGTAAAGCTGGTAGGGGCCCGGACATCCTGGAAAGCTGGGAGGGAGCAGTTGAAAAAAATCCAAGTGTGAGTATGCCCGTAAAATGCAGCATTCAGAATTTGTGCAACAGCTTGTCTGTATCAGAGAAGGGCTTGCTTCTGGTTACGGTGTGGTTGCATGCCGATTACTGCTTTGGGTTACAGGGTGGGCGCGTAAACCCAGGCAGCACACAGTAGTCTTCACCGATGGACTGATGAGGTAGGAATTGAACCCACATCCATCAGATGCAACCCCATGCACTAGCCAACAGGAGTCATGTTGTTGCTTCTGGCGACCCATAAATCCCCTTGCGAGGAGCAAGCCACTTGGCCTTGGCCTAAGTGAAGACAAAGGCCTTGCCCGCCCTAAGTGAAGACGGGTCTTCAAATTTTGGCCTTGGCCTTCACGCCACATGTCATGATGTATAGGACTATATGACCATGGCGGGAGGAAACTTGGTTGTAGGGTGCTGTGGGTTGATTGAGGCACGCAGCATCGCCAACCGACCAGTAGGGCTCAACCTGCCATTGGTTGAAGATGCTGAGGCCCAGATCTCAGATGCTGAGGCCCGCGGCTCAGGCAGTTAGGCCCCGGGCAGCCAGGCCGCGAGCCGTGCAGTAAACAGAAAAGGAAGTGAGGCTGCCTCACTTCGCAGATTCTGGCTGGCTGCACGTGCGGCAATGTGGCTGGAGCGCGCGCGTGAGAGTGTGGCCAGGGAAAGGAGGAGCTGCACGACAGAGCAGCGTGTGACTGTACGGCAGCCATAGCCAGGCAGCTCGCCCAGAAGCCAAGTGGGGGATAGCGGTGGTCCTTGGGCATGAGGACAGTGGTCGGGTAAGACGGGGTCTGAGCGTTGCAACAAGGCACTTACCTGGTGAAGAAGCAGCTGGCTCGGAGATTGTTTTTGCCATTGGCTGATGGACTTCATCACAGACCTGTTCTAGCTACAAGAGTCTGGGTCCATAGGAGCTGTCTGTCTGTAGTCCGGGTGCCGAGCGCCGACGTAGGAGAGCTTCATTGTTGACATTGGTGACTGGAGGCGAGAAGGAGGCTTCCATTTGTCATTTGACTTCAGTGCTTTGCTCTCGCTTATTTGATGTGTTCTCATGGTGCAGTCTGGTTTCAGTTCGGACGTATCTGGATTTCTTTGGAATGCTGCAATTTGGTTTATTGCCATTCGCATTGCTTATTTCCTTGCACCCAGTTCGTCTGCGCCTTCTTTTACCTGACGTGTCACGATGCGGGTTTTCCATGCACGCTGATGCTACCAACCTGTTGTGGCGATTTGCCTGGCGATGCTAGGCTTTTTTGTCCCGTAGGCCTGACCCACAATTTTGCTCGTGGGTCAACTGGTGCATCAAAACAAAATAGATGGGAGAAACAAACTGATGGTTTAAGATGCACTCTTTTCTTCTGTACCCAGTTAGGCATTGCGCTTTCTAGTAAAGATCGATAATCCTTGGTGGGTTTGTTTCTTCATGGCAGTGCTTGTATACAGCGGCTGGTTCCTATTATACTGGAGGCTAGAGCTGTAAGTCCTCTTGTCGAGGACTATGCTGCTTGCCTGGAAGCTAGTGCAGAGCTATGTAACATGCCAGAGGAGGGTGAAGAAGACGAGGGCGGATTCTTGATTATGCAGGTAGGTTGTTATCTATTTGTCTTGTTTCACTTTTTCTCGTTTTCGCAATGTTTTGTTTTGTTTTAACTTATTCCATTTTATTCCAATTGATTCCGTTTGATTTGGTTTGATTCGGTTTGATGATCGTGATTCGATTGGATTCTGTTTAGTTTTCCGTGTATTGCACTTAAGTTTATAGTTGTTTTCCTGCTGATTCTGTTGAATCCTGTTTTGTTTCATTTTATTCGGTTTTATCATCTTTTATGACTTCTATTCCATTGTAGAACTCGCACAGTTGTCCTTTGGGACATCCGTCAAAATAGATAGGTACAGAAAAGATTAGCATGGCCCCTGCGCAAGGATGGAAAAAAAAAAATAAAAAATAAGAATGAGTACGGATTTTACTGCATTTTATCCGTGTGCCTAAGTTCTTTTGCGCTGTGGTGCATCTTTGCCACTGTCAGTGCCGCGGACCTTATTATCGCATGAATGTTGATGAAACAGATCAGTGAAAAATCGATCACATCCATGATCCATGTGATGATTACGAATGCCCATGTTTTATGACCTATGCTATTTACTCAACTTGATTGTATTATGTTTGGCAACTTTTACCCCAAGCTTGCAGTCTGATGGTTTGGAATCAGACAAAGAGAGAGATCGGTGTCAGTTCGGTGGCGAAGAAATTGGACAAGCATAGCAATTTTGATATCTGACTTGCAGATGAATGGTACAGCGATGTAACTGGTAGCAAGAGAGGTCATGAGTTCAAGTCCTTCTGGGTACAAATGCAGGAATTACCTTATTATTATTGTGGTTGTTTTGGACGGATATCCTTCCTAATATATACTGCTATGAACTCATCGGTGGTAAAATCGTCGTATTGTCACTAATGTGACTCCGGGCTTAGACGGAGAGACACTGGATGCGCGCACGATTAACTGGTTGTCAAAATCTAGTCAGCAATTACAAGGCGGTCAGTTTGAGTCACACTTCAAAGCCTTATCTTATCACAAGCCCCAGGGACAAAATCGTACAGAACGCAAAGCCCTCACCGTGGTGCTGGACAGCGTATGCGATCTAGCGGAATATCTGGACTGTTCTCAAGTGAACAAATTTATCATTACTACCCGTCTTCACCCGTCTATTCGAATACATGTGTTGTAAACGAATACAAGAGATAGCGTCCGTTCTATTCGAATACAACACATAGCCCTGGTTTTGGAATACAACGCACGTGTTCTATTCAAAATTTTGGGATTTTTTAAAGCTCGAACACAATGCATGTTTTATGCTCAAGGGAAGATGGCAGTTCAATCGTGCCCGTCTTCCCCCGAACATGGTCATGTGTTGTAAACGAATACAACACATAGCGTCCGTTCTATTCGAATACAACACATAACCCTGGTTTTCAAATACAACGCACGTGTTCTATTCAAAATTTTGGGATTTTTTTAAAGCTCGAATACAATGCATGTTTTATGTTCAGGGGAGGATAGGAGTTCAATCGTGATGGACATGTAGCGAACTTCATTGTTAATAAGATCTGCAGAGTGTAGGGATGGGTGGATGCTGTGTAGCATCGTGTTCGGGTTCGGTGACCGAATCCGAACGTTCGGGACCGGACGCGAACGAGCGCCGAAACTCTCCAAAAAATCTGAAAAAAAAAAAATGTTATGTGAAATAATAATACAAACAACTTTTGTCTTGGAGGTATGGTCAAATTCGTAACCAAATTTGAGTTAAAATTTTAAAATAAAAAACCAAAGAAAAAAAGTTTTTTTTTTTGTTTTTTTTTTTGAAAATGTTCGGCCAAACACTTTCGGGTGGCGTTCGGCCGAACACCCGAACATGTTCGGACGTTCGGAAAAGCTCCGAACATGTTCGGTGTGCTACACAGGGTGGATGCATAGAATGACGATTTCCCCGGGAGCAGAATTCCTTACATGTTTTTGCTGTCCATATTGTTGGTCTTTTTTTTGTTGTCTTCCAGTTGCTTCTTGCCAATCTCGATCGACCGGCCCCAAATGTGACCCATCTGCTGCTCAAGTTTGATGTTGAAAATGGGGTTGACACCTCATTTTTGCAACCACGGCGGGACTACAGGTAAGCATTCTGACTGTGCACATTGCACACAGTGAGCCCTTTGATGACCGTACTTGTCATCAACAAAGCACCAGAATTGCTTCCAGCAGGGCCAGCACTGCAAAAGGTCCCACAAATGCTGTTGTGGGGGTTCAGCAGGCAATGTCCAGCTGACAGGGCACCGAGGATGGCCAGCGCACATATGTGAGGGAAATGGAAATGGGAACCACCTCCTGAGTGCAACTTAGTAGTGGCCTTACTAACTGAGCTAGGCCCATTGGCGTCGTCACATTTTTGAGTCCTCCTGCTATCAGTTTTTAAACCACCAGTACTTGGCCCATACATCGGCCGCGGGCCCTTAGCGTTAACGCTACGCGTTTCCCGCGCCTCGGCAAAGGCTTGGCATGGCAATGGGGGAGGGAGCTGGTGGCCCCATGGAAACGGGGCAAAAGGACTGCATGATGTCCTGGTGGTTTGCTATCTGGAAACGCGCAGACAGTGGTAGCAAGGAGGCAAAAAAACAAAAAAGAAAACGGACGAGGAAAAAATAAAGATAGATGGTTGCTTTCCTTTCTTTTCATTTTTTTTTTCTGGGGGGGGGGGGCAAGAATGTATCTGACTTCACTTCTGCACGGCGTTATATGAATCTTAGGGCAATCACGTTCAGATGCTGGTTTCCCGTTTCCCCCTTCTCCTTTTTTTTTTTTTTTTCGGTAATCAGATCGTTGGCTGTTTCTGCACTTGCTCCCCATGAGAGACGGGGAGCATTCAATGCCTCAGGTCCCAGAGGCAGTGTGACGTTGCAACTTCGACGCATGTATCTGGCTTCACTGCTGCATGGCGTTGTATGAATCTCAGGCCAATCACGTTCAGATGCCTGTTTCCCGTTTCCCCCTTTTCGTTTTTTTTTTTTTTTTTTGATAATAAGATAGTTGGCTGTTTCTGCACTTGCTCCCCGTGAGAGACGGGGAGCATTCATTGCCTCAGGTCCCAGAGGCAGTGTAACGTTGCAACTTCGACGCATGTATCTGGCTACACTGCTGCACGGCGTTCACGTTTCTCTCTCTTTTTTTTTTTTTGGCTTTTTTTTTTTGGGGAAGAAGATCCTTCACGGGAGCGTTGAATGTGTGAGTGGAAACAAGAAAACGACGGCCTGTTTACGTTCCATCTGCTGGCAGCAGGTCTAAAGGAAGGGGCGGTACCTGCTTGCAGCAGCAGATGTCCCGTATATTTTTCCACTCCCCACAGGCTCGGCAAAAATTGGCGCGCAGGGCATATTCAGGCTCGGCTTCAATAGCTGGGCCAAGTACTGATGGTTTAAATATGTATGTCTACAACTTCTTCTTCCCCCCCCCCCCCCCTTCTCCCTCCCCCCTCAAATTTTGGTTTTGTGGGCGAAGCTGCAACAGTTAATCTTGGTGACAGTTACATATATTCAATTACTTCTCCGGTCAGTGATGTGGATGTCAGGTTTCTGGACCAAGGACATCAGACCGTATTGGGCCTCGAGTCTCCACAGGATTGGTGCCGATTGCCAGGATCATGTTCTTGAGTGTCCGAGTCTGGGAAGACGACAGCAAGGCTGAGCAAGCTGAAAAACAAAGACCTAAAATGTTGGTGCATTCCTTGTTTTTCCAAAATTTCAGGTTCACATCTTCTTCGTGCTTGTCTCATTGAGTGCGGCAACTCCATTTGTTTGTCGTTTGTCTTTTTCTTATTTTCTCATGTGGATGCTCTTTGTTTGTCGGACATACAGTTGTCTGCGAGTTATTCTTGATATTCTGGACTCGTTGGCGCGGCCAAAGGAAAATTTCCGTCTTCATGAGTTCGGTTTCCAGGTATGCGTTGTCACCAAAAATGAGGTGTCGACCCCGTTTTCAACAAGAGTTCGGTTTTGAGATATATGGTTTATTGCTAGGCTACCAGCCGGGCCGCCCGGGTCCCGGGTGGCCAGCCTGTGCAAGGACCAGCGAAGGTCCCAGGAAAAAAAAAAAGAAAAAAAAAAAAGAACAATTCCGAAAAAAAACTACGTTATGCAGAAAAATAAACTGAACTATTTTTGCCTCGGGGTCACATCGAAATTCTTCACCAAATTTAGAAAGGAAAAAAAATTAAAAAATATATATTCTCTTTCTCTGCCTAGGGTTTACCGGGCAGTTCTGTTTGTGACGATATATGCTACGACTTCGCTAGCTTCCTGCTACGTTTTTTTCCGGTCAGATCGAGCGGCAGTGGTCGGGGCCGTTACTAGGCGGCCATGCTGTGCCTCTAGTGCCAGCGGCGTGTCTGGAGTGTATTTTTTGGCTGTGACAGACCTTTCTTTGTTTTGTGGATGTTTTGCTGGCTTGTGATGGGGTGTGAAC